ATTTGCATTCAAACCGTTCTTCCGATATACTTCAAATATTATGCCCAAGAAACCGAAAAAAATAAAGTAACATTCTCGATAATGTGTAATGCTAAAATGCATTATTAATTGCAGCAAACATTTGAGAAGCTTAACTTCGATGGCAATGATTTCAAAATTAAGTCAATAGAACCTTTAATATTTGCTGCTAAACTGGGTACCGCAACCAAAGTTGTACCAAAGTACCGCAACCAAAAGCTCAACACTATCCAAGCCCTTCGACTAAACTACTTGACGTCGTAGCGAATTATGTGGATGTAAATTTTTTCAAATTCTTAGATTTTCTCATGAATTTAAATTGCTTCTACTTTTCCTACACTTAATTTACATTTCTTCTTTCAATATAATTTAATCGCATTGAAGAGCCATCGGATATTGTCCTTCAAGAAAGGTGAAATGTATTTTCTCTTTTTATATTTTTGTCTTTTGCCAGAGCTTTAAAGGCTCATTAACTATGAACAGTAATTAGCTCTTTTTATGACAACCCGCAGCTATTTATTTCGTTTTTCCAATTACGTCAAATGTTTACTACAAAACGTTTTTAAATTTATACTTGACTTTTGAAGCTTAATCAACTAGTCATTGCGAAACAACAGGGATAGCGGACCATCGTCTCTCTTAATTTCCAAAGCTCTTAAGCTTGAGTATAATTCATTCATTCAATTAATTTTCAATATCACTGTAGGCTCAAATTCCCAAATTAATTTTCTAGATCTTTGAAGTTGAAGTAAGACGAGTAATATTGGGGAAAGTTGTGTTAATTAAGAGCTTGTACTTGGGCAGGATTTTTTCGAGATCATCCTATTCAAAAAGATTGCATTTTAATCCATATATCAAATATTTCTGAACTATTTAAAACCATAAGACATAGCAAGTTCGGAAGCTTTTACATCGTTATCCCCATTCGGATTTATTTTATTAATTTTATTTTATATCATTAATCACATAAAATTTATGATCGTTTCAAACTTACATGTGATGTGATTTTTCAAGCTATATTTAATAGTTGGCGGACCCTTCCACAGTCTTTTTAAAAACAGATGGTCATCGGGCCGTTTTAACGTGAAATATAGTTCCTAAAGTAATTAATAATTGCATTAAACGAGCTAAAAGTATCCGGCAACTAGAGCTAGGTATCAATTAATTTTGCGCTCGACTTTTTAAATTTTTATTTTCGTTTCTGGTCTTAATGGTCGCTTAAAATTTCTTCCATTTCAAACGGTCACTGAACTGGTTTATTTTTGACCTATGTGGAATGTGGAAGAGATATTTTTTATTAAATCGTTTATGCTGATATTACGATTTGACGTGAGTCTCAAGTTGTTAGGATGGAAAATTTAAATTAAATAAAATTGTTTTTACATACATAAAATCTAACAATATTTAGTAAGATTAAATAAGCCTATGTTGAGCTTTGAGAAATGCGAAATGTTTCGGTTATTTATACATTGCAAGTGTTGCATACAAATGCAAGTTCATTCCCAAACCAAATTCAATTGCCCGAAGCCCGAAGAGCAACTAAAGCGAAATTATCAATTATGGTGCCATGTGTTTGTTGATTGGACGTTGGGACAGATCGGAGATGTACATTGCAATGAGGGTATCACTATTATATCGATTAGTGCGGCTCTTTCTGCTAAGCGTGTTAGAAAACTCTTAATATGAAAGCTTTTTTGCACTAGAGTCGATTTTCCATGTTCAGAATATGTGTCTTTATTACACTCCAGTAATGGGAAAATCCAAAAAGCCAAGTGATATCTAATGACTGTAAACTTCAAGTTTACCTTCCATCAGTTCGCTCCCCTACCCAGCAAAATATATATGTATAATGCGGTCGCCTTTTTCATTCTTTTAATATATCGCCAGCCAGCTGACTGGGATATATGGTCCTTTCTTTGATTTTTTCCACATCGCTTCTTCTTTAAAAGGCAGAACACGTCTGGAACGCAAAAAAATATTTTGCCTAAACGCCGCGGCTTTCCAGTAAAAAATCGCCTTCGGCTTTTAGAATGTGGGTTTAGAGGATTTTTATTTTTGTAAATCGTTTTAAGAAGCTTTTATTTTTCCTATTCGTCCTTAAAATTTTGCGTGTACATTTTACCATTTGCATTAAATAAAACAATAGATCCACTTCACACAAATGCACAATGTAAAGTGCATGAAAAAGAAATACTTCTAAATATGTTTTTCAGATGGTAATCTGAAGAAAATATAGTATAAAATATACCTATTAAAGTTACTCGACAAAATCACATACATATATTTACACATAACACAAATGGAATTTGAAAATAGGTTTTATAATTTCAGACACAATTCACGAGCCGAGTATAATTTCAATTACAAGTGCAAAATTTTACTAGTGTAAACCAATACAGATTCAATAGATTCATAGCAAGATTTTGGGGTTATCATATTATAAATGTTCAAAATAGTTCTACTCGTTACAATTTTTGCAGCTGAATTAAGACAGTTGTCCTTTCGGGTACAGGAATTATTTACATTTGCCAGTTCGTTTAGCATAGGGGTCGTCTTTGTTCCTCAAAAAACGAGGATAATAGAGGAGTGTGCTTATGCAGCACAACAAGTACAGTTCAACAAGTATAAAGAGTTGCAGTCGTAAATTAGCGAGAAGTGTGTTTTATTTACATGCCTCTATCTCACGGCTCTTTCATTTATGTAGCTTTGCATCAGGTTTTCGTATTCAATTCAATCGAACAACTTAATTATATTTTTGGAATTGAACATTTTGGGAATTATTCTGCCCCAATCAAAGGAAATGATTGATGGAGAATGAAAACTCCTAAATGTTGCAATCTTCAAGTCCTCGGCCTTATACAGACTACGAATTTAAAATACTGCCTTTATACATAATTTTAAGAAAATATGTACTTAAGTATATAGAATTACGTCAATTACTCAACAAAATGATAAACTCTAAATGTGTTTTACAACAAAATAGCTGCATCCTTTAAAAATTATTCCAATGCCAATGTCTTGTTTTTTTTTCTTAATTGCATTCGATTGAATGTTCAGCCGTACACCGGATTTCTTCAAAAGCCCGGACGCTTTAAAGTTTCCCGAACATTCAGTTCAAATCTTTCGCTCACCGGGAACAGTCTTTGAACATACATTGCTCTGAAATATTTTCCGGAAACTTTCTCCAGCAAATCAACTTTCGGATGCGGTGCGGATTGCCACCGTTTACAATTCAGTTTTTATTACTCGCAGTGGTGATTTCGATAAGCTCAAGAGTATATCGCGAAGCTGTAATGAAAGAATCGAATTCGTTAACTTTCAGGAAAAGAAACCTGGACGATTTTCATGAATTGGACCGAATATTGTCCAGTTTTTATAGAAGTGTAATATAAGACAATGATTTGCTTTTATTTAGATGCAATAAAATCAACTATAGTAGAAATTTCTAAAAATCTTGCTTTGAAATGTTCACATATTTAGACTCAAAATAGAGACGTTAAGGAATTTTGAAAAGTTCCATACAATTATTCACAGTTTTTCACCAATTTGGAATAAGTGACACAATCCCAACGATAGTTATTTTTTGTATTTAATTGTTTCGCTTAGGAGAATAGGAAACATATCAATTAGATTGAACATTTATTTAGCAAAAGCCAATTTAACATTAGGAATAATTATGTCATTTAATAGGCCCAAATTAACCGCCTCCAGTCAGCAGATCCCCTAGGGGCACATTTAACTGAAAATGTGTGAGGTTTATTTGCAAATTTATTCCCAACTGCTTCCTTGCTCTGCTTTGATTTTCAGCCAAAAGTACCCGCAGAAGATGTTTGGAAGGGCACATTCGGATTATTCTGAATACACAAGAACAATTTCTTTCAATTGGAAATAATTAATTCGTTTGCATCATTTACTTTCATTCACAAACAATTAAGTAAAACTCACACTAGCTTTCAGTACGCAAAGTACAATTTATACTTGTTCGGATGTGTTACAAAAAGTCGGTTTATATTTGCCTTTTTTGGATATTCTGTTTATCCCATTACAAATTAATTATATTTTGAAATATGGGAATAAACTGTTTCAAGCTCTATATTTCGCACAAGATATTCATAGAACACGTTGCAACGTTAAAACTATGGCTTAAGAGACATGGCGCCCATATATCCTATTCTGATACGTGCATATGTGCATAAATTATTTTAATCTTTTCTCGACATAATTCTAACGGATGAGAGCCAGCAACGGAAACTGTCTGAATGCTGAAATATTATCTTAACTGTAGTGTAAACACTCAGCATATTCACTTGTATTGTTTTGGGACAACAGCCAGTTTACTTTCGGAGATAAACACTTCATACGTTTTACTGTGCTGCCTTTCCTAGGTAGGGAGCCGGCTGCTAGGCAAATATGCTATTGAATGTTTTATGGCTGTGATTTTACGGTAGTAAATAATGTTTTAACAGAGATGGATTTTTCTCCGTCTTTCCTTTAAGTGCTAGTAAACGTGGAAAGCTCCAAGCTTGATAGATTTGCAGCGATGAGTTCGGAAACCTTTTCCAACTATCCTTCACAAGGGTGAGGCCCTCATATGTGCATCCAACTAGGTTGCCTGATGCTACTTTCACACATTTGATAAATGCAGTAAAAAGTTCTATAATAATACTGTGCAACTAGAAAAATATTCCGAAGTTTTTAACAAAATATAAATACAAAACCCTAATTTGCTGTTGTAAAGCGGAAACAGCTTGTTGAGATTTGATGACACGTTTAATTTTGCGAAAAAGCTGAAAAGCACCACATTAGACGAACAGATGCTAACTTTAAGGCCAGGCAGCGCCGCGGCAGTCATCGTACCAAATAAAAACCGGCATAATCTCCAAGAACTGGCGATAAAAGCAATAACAACACAAAAACCTTGGACAAACTACACCATAGGAAAATATCCAAGCGCCAACGCAAACGTATAGCGCCTGTGCTCTGCATTCGGCTCATCGAGATACTCGCGACTCCCAACAGAAGTGAAGCTGAAGTTAGTTTCTCCTTTCGTTTGAGTTGCGTTGGAGTAGATCAAGCGCTATTGAGGGGAGGCTCAAATTACGTAAAGTTGCGAGATCAGATCTCAGGCACCGGGCGCGATTTTCTTCAGCAGAAAAAAAATGGTTTTTATCTAGCGCATTTTCTAAACGTTTGACCCAATTGAAACAATTCAGATTTTTCTGAAAGACCACAAACAAATTAGTTCAACTGGTAATTTATTTATGAAACAAGCGTCTATTTCCATGTTTAAGTGTTGACACTTTAGTGTTCCATAATGTGCGAACTGACGAAAATAATATACGTGTGGCTGGTTGGAATTGGATTACTCACAGTGGGTGTTTGTGGACGAGGCGAGCTTTATGAGAAAATAGGTGAGTGTTATTCCATTCAGAAAACGAATGAATTTAAATGGTTGATTTAAAGTTTCTCCAGTTTCATTCATTCGGCTCACTCTTACGTATTTGGACTATTTGCGACTTTTCTTAGATCCTTAGTTTTGCTATCGCATTAACCATTTTTTATGAATTACTTTAATCAATCAAAACCACAATGAAAACAGTTTAACAACAAAAGCAATAGAATTGTAAATTGAAATATATTGGTCTTCTATATGCAATAATGCGGCATATAAAATGGAAACTCCTAACTACATTCAAAGATTTACTTAAAATTTGCGTACTTAACGTATTTCTTTTGCTCGGTGTCTGTTTTTCAATTCAATTTTGTATTATTTATTGTGCATTATTCACGATAGAGCGGCAACAAGCTTGTGCTTTTAAATCTCTCCTATGTTCGCTTAATTGAGTTAGAAAATTTAATCGAACGCTATTTATTTAATCAGATTCTATAAACGTGTCCGCTTTTTTTAAATAGAAATGTAGTGATTTTTTCTCAGGTATTTGCATTTTAGATAGTTCCGATTTTATTTTATTTTTTAAATCTATTGATATAAAATGATAAATTTTAATTGATTGATGATTAGAAGTATTCGATGTTTAAAAGAAAAATGCCTAATCTCTGATTTAAAACTTTATTTGAACGGTCAAAACACGATATTGTGTATATTCGTAAAAACATGCCAATTTCGTAGTACTTATCAGATATAAGTTGAGTACCTAGTTCATATTTCCATGAACATGGAGTAATTGGTATTGAACAATATCCCGCAGCAGTAAATTAGTTTTAAATTGAATTTAAATGACAATAGTTGAAGAACAATTAATTAGAAACACAAATATATATTTTATAACTAAAATAATGACTGTTACCATGTAAATAATATAAGACAGAAAAAAGTAAAAATAATCCAAATCAACAAGCTGATAGTCAAAATACATTAATGGCGGAAAGATTCAATTAATTTAGGTTGCAAGCAATTTTGTCTGATTAATAGAAAGTCCGGATGTGATGTACGTATTAAACCCGTCGAATACAGACAGCAGCAATTGCCTCTAACAGAACTTTTTACTTTCGGGCCACTTTTCAGTGAACAAAACGCAGCCTAGCTTCAAATGTTTTAATTAAATGTGTTAATTGATTGGAAAATTCGAACAACAATTTTAAATGTATTTAAAACGCAAGCATTTGAAATTTGCACTTTGAGTTATTCGAATTTATTTCAGTTTTCAGGCCCATTTAATTGTGTCAATTAAGTACATTTTGTTCACTGTGCACTGATTGAAATATGGGTATTAAATGCCGGTTTGTTCTAGTCGGAAAAACTCGGAAAACATTTTAATGTATTTTTTAAATATTTGTTTTGCAACCGCGTTTCCTCAATTTTCTATCTTATATTAAGCTTAAATCAAAAAAATTCTCTTATTTCAAATAAATGTGGTTCCAGTCAAGCACCACGAATAAAAGCTGTTTCTGTATTCCAGTTGTTACTGTCGACATATCTCAATTTTCCGAATCCAACAAAAACAATTTGTAACCCCAAAGGCGAGCTCGTCAAATCCTGGTTTAAAATAATGCGATTTGGTTGACAATTTTTTTCCGTTATTAGTAAAAGTTTCAAAAAACAGGCCAATTTCCAGTGCTGCAATACCATTTGCGAGCTCGGACATCTACGTGCGCTAACGGGCTGTGGAAAAATGCTATTTTATCGGAACACAAAAACTTCCTTTATACAATCATTTTATATCACAGGGAGGATCATATAGTGGAAGGATATTTTTTCAGTTCTATACAAATGTATGATATTTATTAAGTACTATTTAATTTTGAATTTGCCGCTGGTCAAATGTTGGAATGCTTTTCCCAAATGCAGTTGATTGGTTAAACAATGTGAGACAGCAGTATTGAGCGGATCTCGCTATAAATTGCTATAATTTTTTTTCCCTATCAACCCGTGTTACAAAGTCCGAAACTCTTTGGCTATTTGTTATATAATATGTATTGTGTTTAAAAATTGAGAGTTTCCTCCATCGCATTATAATCGACTTATTCGCGTGGAATTCATTTGTCTCTATTAACATTATTTAAGAGCATCCATTTGTTTATCCGACAATGCTTGATTTGCCAATGTCGGATAAAAGTTGATCCGTTAATGGATGTTTTGTATTTACCAGAAACCTGAATATGTTTTATGTTGACTGATCTTTGTACTGGAAACAATAACACATTAAGATGCCTTGAAATGTAGATTAAGAACTACAATAGACTACTAGAATTAGTACGGAATTTTTCATAAGCTATTGATGATTAAATAATAAAATTTACCTACCTATGTAGTATGTCGTATGTATAACTCTGTATAAAATTTGTGAATTGTGGTTTTCTACATCAGTTTTTAGTTGATTTTGCTCCATATACCTTTCTTACTTAAAATATGTTAATGTAAATATTCAAACAAAATCGATCAAGCCGACCCATCAATTTTGTAATTTAGTTGAAATGCTTTTGTTAATAACAATCCCCATTCACACTAATCAAAGGCTTAAATATTTACTCAGCAGTAATTAACCATATAAAGTTACGAGCTCTTTATATTAAAAACAAACGCATGGTTTTCTGAATAGCAAGCATACATCTTTGGGTGTTTCAAACGAAATAAACAAGCTCTAAGATACTTTTCCGTCCCACTAGACAAAACCTCATTATATATCTTCTTAGTGAAAACATAATGTTCCAGCCAATTGCTATAGGAATACGTCCCTTTTTTTAGATACTAACATTATACACCAATGATTCTTTCCAGCGAGCGGTATTTCTTTGTTTGGCAGAGTATAAAACAGAACAAAAACAATGACTAAATGTTTAATTATTTCTATGGGAATTTTTTAAAGCTGTAAAGGTAATTTGCTCTGAACTGAATCTTGCTTAATGAGCAACTATTTTAGATGGTTCACGTTGTTATTCCATAAAATGTTTGTTCATAAAGCCTTGTTAATATTTTCAGCGATTTTCAACAATCGTTTAATCGTAATGCGTAAAGAAACTTCTTGGACGAGAGTTTAATATATAGAGAGTTAATTGTAGAGTTCAACTAACTTTTTTAATATTCATAATATCTGAAAGCCCAAGAGTACTATTTCATATAAATCCTAGGGCTGATCTAATATTCCGCCAAAGTACCTTATCTTTTACAAAGTTTTCTGAAAATCTGGCGTTTTAATCTCAGGCTACCCTACATTTTACGTCATATGATAAAACCTCATTTTCCTCCTACCTACTCGCACTCCGAAAGTTAATTTGCTGTTTTGTGGCTGTATAACATCGTTAAAACTAAAACGCGGGATACAAGGTTTTAATATTAATATGTCGCACAATGTGTCCATTATTAGGGCAAAAGTGGCCTTGGTCCAGTCCTTTATTGGGTAGCATTATGTTTGCTGTTCTTGAAAGGATTATAATGGAATATTTGTGTTCTGTATAGGCTTTGCCGTTTCTAGTTCTGTTCCCTATATGTATGGAATTAACGGCGTTCAGTTGAGAAAGTCAGCAAAATTTGCTTGTTTCAATTGATTTGTACCTTGTAAATAATTCCAAATAAACAAATCAACATCAGAAAGGTAACAAGTCCATTTAGTTTCCAAGTAACAATCGGTTATGTGCTAGCAAATGCAATTATTTGAACGGTCTGTGTGCACCAACACAAATGAGTGAGAAATCATCAGAGTGAAATTATCTGGGGGTGTTTTGGGAGTACAAAAAAAATAGAAAAAAAATTGTCAGTTATAACTGAGATATTTGCAAAAAACTAGATCAGAAAAATGGAAACAATTTTTTTCAAGGAAATGTGCCTCATTACTTACTTGCTTACTCCGTACGGCTACAGCCCCTGGTGGGCTTTGGCTGACGCGACGACTTGCCTCCATCTAATTCGGTCGGTCATAAGCTCCGTACAATTTTCGACGTCCGATTTTCTCAGATCAGCAGCGATGTTATCTCGCCATCTTAATCTGGGTCTTCCAAGTGGACTTATGCCCTCTGGGGCTTTCAAGTGGTCTTATCCCTTCTGGGGCTTTGTGCCATACCAGTCCTATATTCGGGCTGCTTACGCACGTGTCCTGCCCATCACAAACAGGGGATAACTATTTCTTGTCTCTGCTGCCCATCTCAGGTCGGACACATTTATCCGATCCGACTCCGATCAGCGTACCTTCCGTCGATGACCAAAGAAGAAGGCACACATGTCATACACGTTTTAGTTTTCCTACCAATTTTTGGCTCCGATAGTCATATGCAGTTGCTATTCGCAAATCTAAGGGCAAGCAATATTGCAGCGGAGCATTGGAAAAATGTTTACACATTTTCGAGGGTGTGACTTGGCCATGGTGGCACTTTGTCTAGACAATAAAGAAAAAGAAAAACGAAGATATTTGAGGGAGGACAAGCGAAAGCACAGATTTTAGGCCCATGCCGCTTGGAAAACACAATCTCATATAGAAAAATTTTTAAAATTTTTCTTTCGTGTCTTAGACGACTTGACGAAATTTTGTCAGTGTTTTAAAATTTCCAGTGATCGACGTTTAGTCTTTTGGAAAAAAACTTCCGAAAAAAAAAACAGTACCAAATTTTCACACTATTTCCTCACTTCTTCAATTAGCTCCTCAGGTTTCATTAAGCTCATGATTAAAACCAAAACATAATGTGTCAGTGGCGTAACGGACCGTTTTCTTTCCGGCAATCGGATATAAAATACCCCTCGAATAGCCACCAAAATCGGAACATGATCCGATAGAAAAACGGAGACGGGTCGGGCAGGTAGCGGAAATATGTGAACTACGGCGCTCAAAGTCTAGTACCATTTCTCTCTCAGATCGTCGTCCGATTGTATGATCAGAGTAGGATCGGATAAATGTGTTATGAGGTAGGTATCCTGAATTCTGCCATCGTCTCCCAGATCTTAACTCTTTTCACACTATCA